ACACTAATAAATACCTTATGCGCAATTAGTGAATTATGGAAATGTGGAAATAAAATATTCAAGACTATTGGGCCAAGAAGATCAGATGACTAAGGATTGTCTGGGGTGATGTGTACAAGTGGGAAGAGCTGGTATGAGATATACTGACAGTAAGCATTTGGAGAAGACGTTCACAGCGACGCCGATACCCGGGTAAAATTACATAGCTTTGTTAGGTGATATGTAACATTAAAAATTGACGATTACATCAACATTAATATATGTACCACACGTCTGGAAAATCAATGTTATTTTGTAAGATATGTAGTTAGATATTGTTATGCATCACAATGTGAAATGTTTGTTGTAGCTTCCATACATGCTTGTACATGTAGTTGTGAATAAAACTATAGCCAAACTCAAATTAGACTGGGCTAGCGTAGTATTAAGTCAGTCCTGGAATGAATAACCCAGTTTGTGTTGAGTGGGCGGTACGCCCCTCTCCCTCTAACTGATCCCTCCCCCCCCCCTCTCCCCCCCCCCCCCCAGCAACGTAAAGATGTGTTGATAGTAAACAGTAAATATATATACTGGGTTAGTAGGCCAAGGTTATAGAAGCTTCAATGAACTCAGCTCACGAGTTGTATTAAAATTCTATACCCAAATTCAAAACATATGAAGTCTGGACATTTTGTAATAGTACAAAATATGCAGAAAAATGACTTCCAGTGATCCAATACATAATATATTTTGGCATTAATTGCACGAATAGTAGGACGCTAAACCCCATTTCATTTCATTCATAAATAGGCCTTTAATTTATTTCATTATTTATACACTTTCAAATAAAACTTATTTTATCATTTATACAATTCCAAATAAAACTTATTTAAACATACATTATGCAATAGCTAAATCTGCCTATTGCAGGCCTTTCTTTGGGTCTGAAATGTTATATAACTATTAATTAGACATTTATTAATATGAAAAGACCTTAATCGACTCTTGATGCCATCGCATGTGTCGGATTTTCACTGGATTTGAATCCGATTTGCTACCCAACGCTCATTGATGATTTAATCCAAAAATGGATAATCGAGACTATGTTTTTTAACGTACCGACGGAAATAATGATGATCGAATCTAGGCCTAAAATTCAAACGCTAATATCTCACTTCAGAGTGGAGCAATTTGGCTGAAGTTTTCAGCATATTCTCTTTACATTATCTAGTTTTTAACTATTAAAGTGAGAACTGCCAGCTCTTTATCTAATCTTCCATAATGACCCTTTAGTTGCATATAGAATTTTAAATATAACTTATTGCATATACACTTCTAAATATAACTTATTTCATTGCATTTACAGTTTTAAATATAACTCATTCATTGCATATATACTTCTAAGTATAACTTATTTCATTGCATTTACACTAATTCTAAATATAATTTATTCCATTGCATATACCCTTCTAAATATAACTTATTTCATTGCATATACACTTCTAAATATAACTTATTTCATTGCATATATACTTCTAAATATAACTTATTTCATTGCGTATATATTTCTAAATATAACTTATTTCATTGAGCATGCATACGTGTATGGAAATTTGGGCATTATAAATATACACTATTATTATTATTATTATATACACTTCTAAATATATTATTTCACTGCATATATATACTTCTAATTTTATCATAGCACACTGTATGGTATGTACTTCATTAGCCCGATTGGTGCCGAAAATGGGACCTAAAACTCATATTTTATTTCATTTTAGCCCGGCCCTGGTATACATTAGTCTGCATTGAGTAATAACAACAGGCTAAAAGAGTACGACGACTATATCGTATTGTAGCTTACTGCTGTTAAGTATAGACATAATCACACTTCACCGACTTTTTGTCAAGGTCGACACGAGGTCTCAAGCATTTTTAACGTCCTACAATACATTAATACGATTTTCTCGTATCGCGCAATTCGGTCAGCTGAGAAAAAAATCATTTAAAATCGCGGATCTTCATTTTGCATTTTTTCGGACCATATGTTATTTTCGCGGATTATTCCACGCTTATTCAGATTGTTAAAGTAACATCTTGTAACATCATAAGATTTTACCCAACTGGCCGTTATAAGGTCTGTCATGTCAATGGCGTGGTTTCGATCTCAAGCTTGTACGTGACATAGAATGTGATCCCACTGTTAAAGATCCTACGTGGAAGAGTAGTATTGAAATAAAACTGTACCATATGTTAGTCCCAAAATAACCAAGTACCAAGGCAGTGTAAAGACGTCCATGACAATTGCCAGTCTATTGCCAGGGCAGCGTCAGACTTTGCATAATAATACCCAGCCTATTACCAGGGCAGTTCCGGACCTTGCATGACAATAAACAGTCTATTGCCAGGGCAGCGTCAGACTTTGCATGATAATACCCAGCCTATTGCCAGGGCAACGTCAGACTTTGCATGAAATAAACAGCCTATTGCCAGGGCAACGTCAGACCTCCCATAACACTAAACAACCCATTGTCAGGGTACATGGGTAGCGCCTGGTCTTCCATCATAACAACCAGTTTATTGCACGGACAGTATATAAGTATGTTTTAAGCGCACGGTAATGGTGCACTGGGCAGTATATATTCACGGGTTCCACTAATCGCATCTAGCAGCACTAACTGCCCAAGATAAACACAGATCATCTGAGCAATCCAAACGTCAAATGAACATTCACGGAATACCAGGATAGGATCAACTCAATTGTGCGATCGTAAAGCCACATCAGTATTATATTTTGTTATCTTCTTGTATTCATTTTATTGTAACTATTTAATGAATGTATATCTAATTGTAACTATCTCTGGGAATGAATATCTAAGCGAGCTAACGTCTTTCTCACTGAGTCGCCGCGGCTCCCTAGATCAAACCTGTAAGTAATCATATTAATAATAATAATAATCACTTTATTTGAAAAGGGTACAAAATTAGGCCTGGGGCCTTTCTTACATTTTGCCCTTTTATCAACATCAAGCATGCATAAATCCGGAACAAATTTTTTATATAACGATAATAAATATATTAGATGTGCTGTTTGATAAATGTCAAAACTATTTACAGTATTGAAGATAATATGGCGATCCTTTCTTTTAATACCACGCCTCTTTCTACACCACGCCTTTTTCTGTATCGTACGATTTGAGACATCGATTATTTTATCTCACAGTTATAAAATATTATTTGTAATGAATGTCATGTATATTTCAATGACGTGTCCTGTACAACGTGAAATAGTAAAACATATGAATGACTGTAATACTAACTCAGCGATTAACCGATAGAGTTTCTGTGATTACATCAAACAATAGCCTTTAATCGATTCCGTGTATTTATCAGTGACGTGTTCTGTTGATCATTTATTTATGAATAATATCGCAGTGTTATTTTTTGTAGTTATGGTCATATGATTGTCTTATGAAATACCGTAAAAACTATTGTATTGCTCTTATTAAGACATACATGGACTGACTCAATAGAAATTTGAATGTAAGTATAATTAAAAACTAATTATCACAGTTATGGCAGGGGGTTTTCTCAAAGTTTTCGGGTATAGGGCGATAGAGTGGTCTAATATATGTGTGTAATTTAGATCATAAGGTCTGTCATTGAGTCACGTGGCGTGGTTTCATTCCCATGTTAGCACGTTGCAAGGAGTACGATCACCTAAGCATCATCGTGGAATTCCTCCGGGTCGATCTTTGAATTTCTTTTAATTTATTTATTAATCCATATTCTGTCTGATCAATATATTTATATGAATAACGGATAATAATGGATTTTTATTATAGATAAATTTATTCCATACATATTCCTGTTGGGTAGGCCTATAGGAATGTCATAAGATAAATGAAATGAAATGGGGTTTAACGTCCTATACTGGTCTGTTAAATTCCGACCGGGCTAATGAAATCGAGCGCAAGCCATACAGTGTGCTATAAGGGAAATTTTGACCGGTTAGCGGCGCTATATAAAGCCTACTCTTATATTGAATTCCAGCTGCCAAGGGTTCTTTTACGCGCACGCCAATTTGTATGCGACACGGGACCTCGGGTTTTCGTACCATCCGAACGAATATACGTTGTCCCTTGCCAGACACTCCATCCTGCACCAATGGGGGGGGGGGGGGGGCGTCGGAGTGTCATAAGGCGGCAAAAACTGGAATATTGGATTTGTGGGGTTTTTTTGTATTATATTACTTAGGCTATTTCTGGCCAGGGAAAATTCCTATTTGACGGATTCATTTTATAAGTGTTTTAATTTGTTTAAGGATTTATATGTTACATAGATATAGATTATTTATCCATGAAGGACTTTATGCTTAATTAAAATATATCATAATTTTATGAATATTAAGCCTATTTCATTTTTGTTTTCATTTATTTGAAATTAGGCTTGATACAAAAATAGAAGGACTCAAGATGAAGAAATGTCATGGGGCCCCGTCAAAGATATATATTTGGTCCTGCATCGGTACCATAGATATATAGTCTCAAACTTTTACTGTTAATATTTTATTTCGCTGCCTTGGCGAATTTCTCCCGATATGACACCGCTATATTGGCGCTAACCAATGCCATATTGCGATGCATCGAACGTTTCCAAGTTTAACCAAATGCAGAATCAAAATACTAAAATAGTAATTTTGCGTTATGACAAGCCTCATGAATACGTTCTCCAAATATTTGAATTCCTTTGGTTGCTGCGCATCTTTGGCTCTGTTGAAGTTTATCAAGATATTAATCTTCAACCCAGATTTCAATATACGGAACTCATGCGTGTTGCACTTCAAATAATTGTCAACGCGTCCGTGACGCGTACAATCTATCAACAGTGTTCTATAAATAGTGCACGCGCACTCTTATGAAATAACGGTAAATACATCATGGACATACCCACTTTTCAACCAATCAAAACCCATCTCTCTGTTCCCGTGAACTTAAGTCACGTGACACCTGTGATAAGGTGATCGTCTCATTTTAATATTACATTTACGTGCATTGATTGGAAAAGTCAGTCGTTTGAGTCGAACGAGGACTTAATTTACATATTTCCGGTAACAGTAAACACGCCATCAGTGTTATGGAACAATGAATTTATTGGGAAGCAGTCGAAGGGGATAATTGGCAGTATAATATCGTAAGTTTTCTGAATCGGCTCTTTTATTATGCGACCTGTCTGACGTTTCCAAGCCACCATAACCATTGCCCTGGCAGTCACGGACTTCTCTGTCTGTGTCTTCGATACGATAGGCTATTATGAATGCATTTTACTTGCTTGTAGCATAAATGGATCTATTTTTCAACACGTAAAGATCATTTTTTGTTTATAACTAGAGGGATTTTCTTTGAAAGGGTTTTCGAAGAGATTGATTGTTCCTGAGACTGAGAGGAAGAACCGAAGCAGACGACCCATCATCATCTTAGTTATTAATATTATCAAACGTGCCGACATACCACATGTCATAATGTTAACTCTTAATATTAACATGTCATGTCATAATACTTATAATATTTAACTCTTCTGCACCAAATGCAATGGTATACGAGGGAAAATTTGCCCAGATAGCAGCAATTATGCATACTCTTCATCAGTCCAATTCCAAGTCCCAATTAACTGTTGAGAGTTCCTTAAATACACTTCATTCAACCCGACTGGTACGCAGTACGACCGTGGTTTCTTGTCCCATCCAAACGACTGGATGCGTTTCCTTGTTAGGCCTTCCACCCTGCACCAATGACAAGCTGAAACTAGACTGAAAAATTCTGGCGAAGCTTCTCAACCAACGGTCAAGAAATTATCTAAAGACTAGAAAATTATGTGTTTGTCACTTGTGTGTATAATTTTGTGAAGACATGTATCATACCAGGCGTTACCCATACACCCTTCCCAACAAACCAACCCAGCTTGGCATTTTCATCATTAATTAATACAAGTCAAAGAGTTAGAGTGTATACTAAACAAAGATAATGATAGACCCATCTTCAAACCACATGTGACAATGACAGTGACAGTGGTCATCATTTCTTTGTGTGAAGCAAGAGGCCTCAAGTTCAAAGGTCAACTATTTCCACAACACCTCTAATAAATAGTGGAGAATGAAGTAAATCCTTTGTTTCCTCTGTCCACTTTAAGATCAAAGCCAAGACCCCCATCTTTATTCTCTACACAGGTGTTTGCATAGGAGATCCGATTTTTAGACACCTCCGCTGTTTGATTACCTAATCTTACTTTGGTCTTTATTCAAGGCACATAATGTTTGGGTTTCAGTGTTCAAGTTCTATGTTTGTTTCATTCATTCAAGGTACAAATTATGTTTTATTTGTTTTATTCATTCAAGGGACTCTGTATGGGTTTGTTTCATGCTTCATTGAACCATTCATTCATTAATTGATTAAAATGGCTATTCCTACTACATGTACCTCATTTGTTTGATTACCAAACTCCTTTTTTGATTTTCATTCAAGGATGATGTATGTTCTATTTCTGTACTAATATTGTTTAATTCATTCAAGGTACAAGGTCTGTTATATATGTTTCATTCAATATTCAATTCAAGGCACAAGTTCTATAAAATTTATTTTATTCATTCAAAAAGATACATTGTTTCTGTAAGGCAATTTTTAAAATTCTTTCATGGTTCATGTTTTTTAATAATATACATGTAGGCCTACGTGTATTTGTTTTATTTATTCATTCATTAAAATGGCTGCTAGGCCTTTTTGATTTGGGTCAAGACTCAAGAACAATAGATTTTGATTTTTATACAGCTTTTGTCTTTTATTATTGGGGGCTAAATGGTGTGCTATCATTGAGTCAAGTAGCGTGGTTTTGATTCCCTGCTTGTATATGACAAGGGTTAGGGTTGTCTGCCCAACCTTGTGGGTTTTCTCTGGATTCTCATGTTTCCTCCACTGCTACAGACCACTATGTGCAAGCGAATGATGAAATAAAAATTGAACCATAAGTTAGTCCCGAAATGACCTAGTTTGTGTTGAGTGACCTCAATCTCTCTCTCTCTCTCTCTCTCTCTCTCTCTCCCTCATTGTTTTATAAATATAGATCTTAAATACATGTATACTGTACATGTCCAGCACATTTCGGATTTGTCACACTGTATTTGACTTTCTAATTTCCACCAAATTTGCAAGAATTCACGAAAGTTGATCATGTGATTGAAAGTTTGTGCCTATCTCAATGTTCTATATCTGGTACATGTGTGTCACTCATTTCTCACTTTAAATAAACCATAGACACAAATTTAGACATGATGAACATTATCGTAGGCCTTTATACATACCGTATGACAGAAATTATTTATGTGCACACCTGAATGTAGATTTATTCTGACATTTAAACAGAAGGTTAACTATTTTGCAGCTTTCAAAATTGTGAATACTTTTATCAAAATCGTGAGCTTTTAAACATTAAACATTTGTCAACACTGAAGAGTCACTTGACATGATTTTTAATTGGGTGAATGGGGATTTGATTTGTTGCTCAATTCCTTCTAGTTCTAGCATTTAGCCCCCCCCCCCCCCAAAAAAAAAAAAATAAAAAAATGATAGGGTGCATTTAGATGTGTGACAAGTTACCTTGCCCTCCAAAAAAGGCTCAGAGAGAGAGAGATAGAAATGGCGTTTAACGTCCACTAGACACAAACTTGGTCATTTTGAGACTAACATGGTTCAATTTTACTTCAATGATGCGCTTGCGATAACCCACAAGGTTGGACAGGCTACCCTTCACCTTGTCACATACAAGCAGGGTATCAAAACCATGCCACCTGAGTCAATGACAGACCGTGTGATCGTATGCGCACCTCTGTAAACCCAATCCAACCTCCCCTAAAAGCTTCAGTCAAAATTTCAATCTTAGAGATTTTTCACTCATAACACTGGGTTACATGTACATTAAGATATTCATGTATCGAATGTAAAATGATAATTGTTTTTTGTGAGACATGGAGTTATTGTGAATAGCTTATTATTGGGGATTAAGATCAAGGACGTGGGCTGATTGAGATAGGATATGAATTTGGATGATATCCAAGTAACATTTATGACTAAGAAGATATCATTTCCGTGATATAACTAAAGAAAGGATTTGTTATACCATCCAAATCTACGTTGTATATATGTAATCTGTTGTCATATTTACAGGTATAATCCCTGTCCCCATAAAGCCATAATGTAAGCGAGGGATAATTGTTAATCCCAAAACCCTACTTCTTGGATTATTTGGCAACCAAAAATAGCTTCTTTACATTTAACAACATTATTGAGAGATAAATACAGGTAAGGGGCAGGGCTGACAATTCATACCGGTTTCAAATATCGCCACCGATCAATAATAGATAATATTGGCAAACTATTTTTTACTTACAATTGTTTTGAAAACATTCATAATGTGTATATGAATTACGAATTATATGTGAGTGTATGGTGTAATATCAAAAAGTGTGTGTTTAATGACTTTCTGTTTAATCAGTTATAAAGGGGATTATTTGAGACTGTTTATTTTTCAGAGTGTAAACTTCTATAATTTCTAAATTAATATGCAGCAATTTGTATGATTAAATAATGATTAGTAACGGCACAATATACTGACTTTCTGTTGATGTACATACATGTATATATAATAATCTTTTAGATTAGCATTATATGTACATGTATGTACGATGGAGAGTTTGACCTATCATAATACCATATAATTAATTTATTTAATTTAATAATTGATTTGATCTACATGGATAAGCTTTTACATTATGTTGAGATTGACCAGTCAAAAATTAAACTAGTAAAATTACATGCCTAAAAGTGACTGATCTGCATGTACATGTTCATAGTTGATAATAATGTTTTACATTATACTATAGGCCTACATGTATGTAGAGTTTGACCAGTCATTGATTTTGACCTAAAACTGACTGATTGTTTTTTAACGTCTGCTTCCACTGTGGTGTTATCATGGATAGGCCTAAGACTAAAATGGCTTACTTTTTATACAGAAGTACGGTACATGTAAAAGTGCCCTTGCTATTTTTTTCATAGGAAAATAAAAGTGGTATCAGGTGTTCTAGAAAGTTAAAAAGTGAGTGCTCTCTGAATTTGTACATGTCTGTGTCCACTGTGGTGTTGGTCTGCTTACAGACGTACAACAAAAGTAATCTTTTAGAGGCATTTAGTATCTGGATAGAGCAATAATCTATAACACATACTTATGGAAGAACAATTACTGATTTATTTAGGCGACATTCTGAAGAGTATTCTCTCAATGTTTTCAACAAGTACATGTGTAGGGCAATTATATATAGATAAGTAATAAGATCTACTCATTCCATATGAATCCAGTACAACCTTAAGATCTCAGAACATGTCATTAGTTATTCCTGCTGTCAAAGTTCAACGGACGAAATGATCTTATCACTTAACAACACCTTTTCTGTGGAATTCACTGCCCCTAGACATCAAAGAATCAAAATCTATACACATCTTCAAGTCACGTTTGAAGGCACATCTATTTGACGAAAATAAACACTAAAAGAATCCACGTAAACTTTATAGCCCATTGGGAACTTTATAGTTACATGTAAGTATTGTTTGCACTATACAAATTCTGTGTTGATTGATTGATTGATAACAACAAATCAGAAAAGTATCTTTTGTCTTGTTGGAATTTGTAAATGAGAAGTGCTATCAGGTGTTCTAGAAACCTTAAAGCTTAGTGCTAATTCAGTGTATGAATACATGTAGCTTATTTAAAGATACATAATGTAAGATTTAGATACATGTACAGAGCTGACCATTCTTAATAATAGTTCAAAAATAGATAATGCAAACTGAATATATTGAAAATTTGTTCAAATTACTGTATTCTGAGCCAAGTTATCACTGTTTGTAGTTCTGACAAGATGTGTGCATTTGGTTGATTTTTATTATCATAACCATGGTACTGGTACATGTATATTCGAGACTTACATGTAGTCTAATTTACTTAAAATCAGAGCCATCCGATGACCTAGAGAGTTGATTATGGTCTTGTCATGTTAATAAATGTCTAATTAACAATTTATATAACATTTAAGACCTAAAAGACCTGCAACAGGCAAATTTAGCTCTTAAATAATGTATCTTTAA